TTTCAATAAATTCCTTTTCTTGGAGTCCAATGAGGGACACAGCTCTGAAGAATTCTGAGACGTAGAGTTATGCTGCTGCCTCATTTCTCCTATAGAGCAGCATAACCCTACGTCTCAGAATTCTTCAGAGCTGTGTCCCTCAATGCACAGTAAGATAACTATTTGTTTAGGTCTGGGGTACCTGAGAAAGGGGCTTTTATTTGCCTGACTGGCACCCACAGTCTCTTCCTTCTTCATTTCGGCAGTCAGAGGCCTGCTGACATGTGAGCATAATGTAGACCTTAGCAAGCATTTAACCCTAGCAGTGTAGGGGAAGCCCCACTGCAAAAGAAGATTTTTTTTCCCCTCAGAGATGGGCTTTAAATGATCTTATATAAGCTTTACCATGTAAATGAAAGCATAAAAGTGGTTTTCAATCTTTTTTTAATCTGCGTATTAAATGTATGCCTGGTGATCCTCCTATGAAGGTCCGTGTTTAGACACTTTGTTACAGGGTGACAACTGTCTTCCAACTGCGGTCCTGTTTTATCACGCAGTCACATGCACCCCTGGTTGAGACTACAAATCGCTCATGCCCACACACATTGCGCAGGCATGAACCACCCTTTTCAGGAAGGCGGTCGTGAGTAATATGGAGCTGATGCAGGAGGGAGAGCATGTGGACAGGAAATGGCTGAAAGAGGCTGAAGAGTAGAACCAATTATTTTGAAAAAACTAAAAAACATGACAAATGCTTATGACACACAGTGCTTTAGCAAACGAAATGTCATTCAGTTAAGGATTAGATTTACGTTGATGAGTCCAAGTAACAAAAATAAAATCTACACCTATAAAAACTGTAAACATGTTTCTACAGGTGTAATTCTCCAGTAGTGATAGTGTACATCATGTAAGCCACAAGACTATTTGAAAATAAAAAGGGCTATATGGAGGCAGCATTTACTATTTGGTAATTAAAACCTGCAAGTATGGAATGTGACATTACTGATACAGTGCAGTAATAGGAATCTCAAAAAGGTACATGCAGAACACACTGCAGGTAAGAGATACTCAGATCCCAGCCTGACACAAACAGTGCTTTCTCTCAGTAGTTTTGATTTTAGGAGGATTTTTCTTAGAGCTACAGGAGGAAAATCAATTGCCTGTTTAGAGATTGGCTGAAAAATGCTTGAAATCACTGCATGTATGCTGGCACAACAGGTAAGTATCAGACTATGATTCTGTGCCTCTGTGGATTAGGACGCTTTTTTTTTTCTTTTTAAACCTCTGGTGTTTAGTGATGTCCCATTAAGTGACTTCTTATGCAGTTTTATTCCACTTCGCATTGCATATGACAGGTGTGTAAATAAATTGGGGTATCTGAACTCTAGAAGCACAATTTGGTTATAGCAACGCAACAAGAGTTTGCTGGTGGCCACAATGGCAGCCTTCTAAAACTTGGTGTTACCACAGAGAAAAAAAAACAACAATAGTACACCAGTGGCAGCAAAAGCAAAACAACTAATTTACAGAAACTACAAAAAATAAACAAAAAAAAACATACTTTAGCAAGCAGAATCCTCTGAACAGGTTCAGAATCATCAAACACAACAAATCCAAAGTTAGGAAGCTTCCCGCCAACACCTTTGGTATTAATCCGGAGTTCCATTACATTTCCATAACCTGCAACAAATGAGAAATATTGCAATGTTAAAGTTTGCATAAAAATGTCACCTTAAATTTATAAGCTGGTTCCTGGTTCACAAAGCACGTACCTCCAGTTGCTCGGCAGCCACATCCTCTATCTTCAAAATTGACTATGGATCCCCAAAACCAAGGCATTTTAATATACCAACATCAACCACAGCTTCGGAGGTCCCTTCCTGGTCTGCCACCTCATAATCCACACTTGCCTACGGGCACCAAATGTGATAGGCAGCCTCACCGGTCTATAAAAATGAGTGAGGCTGGAAGGAGGTGCATCGAAGATAAAAAAAATACTATTGGAACAGGGTTCCAATATGTGTAACTAGCAACAGTGTATCAAGCTACATGAAACGTAACTAGCCATGCATTCCAATGCCTTTCCCTCCATTGCTTGACCTGAAAAAATACTATCATGGATTTTCAAAGCAAACAGTAGTGGAATACTTTATGAACTCAGGTATGCTTAAAAATGGGGCTTTTTTATTTCAAAACCTAAAAGGAGGCACATAATGTCCATAAAGAGTTTTCGTTCAGCTCTTTTCATGTGAATGGTAGTTACTATGTGCATGGGAAAAGACAGCAGACTCAGAATGTGGCAGACACATATAAAAACACTGGATTGTATACTTACTCATGAAAAATTCTTTTAACTCGCTTTCATCAATATCATGTGGTAGATTACCAACAAAGAGCTGGTGGCTGTCAGGATATCGGAACATGCGTCGGTTATCAGTTTCCCCTTGATCAGTGTCTCCACGACCTGTTAAAAAGATAAACCTGTTCATTAGAGCTGAACGCCAGGCATAAAGTATTATGCATGCCTACTTGAAACCTGACAACACAGGGGGTCGCTTGCTCGGTACACCATGCACTCAGAGTGCCTAGTTTTTTTACCAAGGAAAACAAGGGGTCTCTAATCGGACGACGATGTTACAATGTGCCCCTCATCTAATCACTGGGTGCCCTGTATTCCTGGATTTAAAAAAATAGGCTCTCTGGCTAATGTGCAAAAGCCACCCACTGTGTTTTCAGAAAAGAGGGGAAGCCGCTCAGCGCCATACACGACACGGAAAGGGGGAAGGGCGAAATAAAATAACAAAAAATAGATAATCGCTTGAAGCACTGTGGTAGCTCCGGCTACTACACTGCTTTCAAGGTTTACCGTGGGCCAACCAGGCATACTTACACTGGGGCAAGTTGAACTAATGTGAGTATGTAAGATATAATACTTATATCTGGATTTCAGCTTTAAACAAAGTCCCAACTGGCCATTCCTACATGCTCTCATCAAAGTTATGAGGCCCACACTGTCCTCAGATTACAACATCTTCCAATTGAAACATCTGTAGCCTAGCTGGCCTACTCATGGCATTTCATTATTACTAGGTGGGCTTTCCATTGCACTGTGCATGCACAATACTACCATGAAACACCATCAGCAGTTCATCTAGTAAATAGGCTATACAGCTTTCATGGGGAAGGGCTGAACGGTTTTAGGTGACCCTGTCAGTGCAGGGGCAATTGAATATAAAACATACTTGCAAGAGAAGACTACTGAATATACCTATTTCACCAATCGTTTCTTTTTTAAAAAGCCTCCAATTCACCACTCTCCTAGCCCATGCAAGTATTCTTCCACTTCTCAGTGTAAATAACCTGCACCCTCGCCATTCCCTGTGGTTTCTACTGCCTTTTCGTATGTCACTACTGAATGTAAAAGCTGTCAGGAGGAATCACAGGGAATGGCGTTGGGGCAGTTGTTCTTTCACTTGTATGCAAGACATTCCTCCAAGAGAGAAGACTGTATATACTCCTCTTTACGGTGGTCCGTTTCCTAAAAAAAGCTTCCGCTTCACTGCAATCCTGGCCACCAAGTTTTTTACAGATCGAGGAGTTGAGTACCAGTTAGCCCTGCCTCGGTGTGGTTTCTCCTGCCTTTTCGTATGTCATCCACAACTCTGCCCCCAGCTATATCTCGAACCTTGTCTCAAAGTATCACCCTAACCGTCCACTCCGCCCTTCAAAAGACCTTCTGCTTTCCAGCTCCCTCGTCAACTCCTCCCATGCTCGCTTCCAGGACTTCACTAGAGTCTCTTCCATCCTATGGAACTCTTCACCCCAACCTGGCCTTCTATCTCCTACTCTGACTGCCTTTAGGCGATCCCTTAAGACTCATTTCTTCAAGGAAGCCTATCCCACCTCAAACTAACCACTCAACCATCACATTCTCATACAATTCATTCCCACACAGCTACCTCCTCATGTATCACTTCCCCCTCCCTTTTAGTTTGCAAGCCCTCCTTACCATCTTATCCTGAATTGTATTGCGATTGTAATGTCTTCCATATATTGTAAAGTGCTTTGCAAACTGTTGGCGCTATATAAATCCTGTATAATAATAATGTCACTACCGAATGTAAAAGCTGGCAGGAGGATTTACAGCAAGGCGGGGCTAACTGGTACTCAACTCATCGATTGGTAAAAAAATTGCAGTGGCCAGGATCAGTGAAGCAGAAGCTTCTTTAAGAAACGGGCCACCGTAAAGATAAGTACATACAGTCTTCTCTCTTGTGGGAATGTCTTACATACAAGTGAAAAACAACTGCCCCAACTGAACTGTAAAACATTGCATATTGTCCAACCATAATACAAAGATTCCCACAGAGAAGAGCTGCATTTGTTAGTTACATCACAAAAGTAGCTTCTATCAGAAAAAAAAAAAAAAAAAAGAAAAAAGCAGCCACAATTGTGCTATATGCCATTCAAATTGTTTATACCTGATCGCAGCCCCCTCAGCTGAAACGTTGGACGCTCTCGTGGACGCTGATCACGAGTACGTAGAGGCTGAAGTTGACTGTCTGGTTTATTTTCAGTTCTTGACTGCAATAAAAAGTTAAATTAATTGTGCAACCATGTTAGGAATCACATTTCATCACAGTGCTTATGAATATGAAAGATATGCTATCAATTTGCTTTCATGTCTGTACCAAGCAGTTGTAGAATTAGATTCTAAGGGCCTATTTAAAACTAAGCAGTATCTGCTCTCCGTAGGACATTGCTCTAATAACTCCACACTGCGCTTGCATTTTACCGAGTCTGTGTGGAGCCTGCAATGTCTTGTGGTGTTGGCACAACGCTGCAGGGAACATAGAGGGAAAGCCCTTACACATGACCTGTCAAAGTCAAGTGGCAGGTTTCCTTTTCTTCATTAACCCCTGCCCATGTCACTGGACTCTTGCCCCATGTCACTGGTCACTGGACTTTTAAGCAAGCAAAATGCAAAACACATATCCTAAACACACAAAACAATGCTTGAAAAGTGTGCAGGGACTTTTTTTTTTTCCTTCTAAAAGCATGGCCAGAGTTAGGCTATACTGCTGCTTAATAAATGGGCCCCTAAGTGGTAAAAGTCTGTTACTGGCACTCAAAGATTTTTCATAATAAAAAAAAACTTGCAAAAATACAAATTACAAGCTTGAGGAGGGAACAACTCTGCTGTTAAAAAAAAAAAAATCCATAGGTACTAGAAAACATGTAGCCTCAGAAACTGTTAACTACCTGTGAAGCAGGAGCTTTTATAACATGGGGAGGAATTCCTGAAGATGGTACAGTACCACTTGGAGGCAGGTTTTTACTGGTCACTGATGCCCAAGAGAAAGCCTAAAGAAAATACAAAGACAACTTACGAATTGCTCCATTCTGCTAAACTAAAAACACCTGAACTTTTATCTAATTACACACCATTCTTTTTTTTTTCTCCTTAATCCTCAAATAGTCCATTTGAATTAAAAGCTTAACTAAAAAGGAAGACAAAATAAAATCCAGGCATGTATTGTAGAACATAAAAGCAAATTAAAAAGGGTTTTGAATAGGACCATAAACACGCTTTGTACTAACCTACTGTTATTCCATGGACAACAGTAAACCAAGTGGGTAATGAAAGCATACTACTGCAGAACAATCATGCCCACTACATTGCAAGTGAGATCAAGGGTCTCTGCTATGCTGTCTGGCAGGGGTGCTTGCTGGATCTCAACACAGGCTGATCACAAGGTGGTGAATTATGCCTATATTTCCATGTTAAGACTGCGCAATACTACAACCACGTAAGCTAGGAAAATGTATGAACAAGCTAATATCCTGGCTGTTTTCTGAGGAGGCTCCAATGTTGCAGACCAGCTCAGGCTCTTAGAGAAGAAAGCAGTGCATAGAGATGAACCACCAACAATTGTTATTTCCCTTCAGCTAGGTATTTGTGGATAATAAAACATATGTCCTTAGAAAAGTAATAATCTAGTGATGATTAAATTCAAAGAGGTTTTGGTAATGTACATATAATTATTTTCACTTAATACCATTTGTGCTAAATGTAACAAGCGGGATTTAATACAATTTTGTCACATAGAAGACTAAATCAATGAGGAGGTGATGCTGCAGAATAAAAAGTAAAAGCTCAATCAGTGGGTTATATCTCCTTTTATTTTACACCAACTCCAAAAGCAGAAAGTTGCATGGAGTTCTCAATACTACCCTTTCTATGCTTAAGAGATACATGTCTAAATAGAATAGATTAAACTATCATCAGCAACATAATGTATCTAGCTATCAGATACATGGTATACTGCACTTCTGCAGATTCATTCCAATGAATACTAAAATAAACAAAGAATAACCATTTTCCTGGAATGATGCTCATGAACACAAATGCCATATAAAGATAATGTACCTTTGGTGGCTCCTGGGGCAGAGGAATGGGGTCAGCAGGTGGAGGTGTGGGTGACTTTTCCTCAAGCTCCTCTATATTCTTTTCTTCTGGCTCAGGTTTTAGCTCCTCAGTCTTCACTTCTGGTTCAGGCTCTGGCTCTGGCTCAATAATGGGTTCTTCCAAAGACTCCTCTACTCCATTACTAATATTAAAAGAGAAGGTATAATTTAAAATAAAAAAGTACCAGAGTAACAGCCTTTTGTCAAACAAGTTTGAATTAACTTTCCAAGAAAAAAAAAAAAAAAAAAAAAAAAACAACACACAAGCACGATGTAACAAGGGTACAAAACGCATATGCACCAAAGGCATGTACATTCCAATGGAAACATTGAGCCCAAGCAACAAAATACAAATATACAGTAGGACATAATAAACAAAGTGCCAAATGTTGAGATAATGGGTACTATTGAAACAAGGTCCAAAGGACATCTCCAAGGGATGGAGAAAGAAGGGAGTAAAATAATGCAACAAGAGCACGGGGAAAAAAGGAAACAAAGCAAGAAAACTGGGAACTAGAAACCACGACTAGGATGGGAGGGTGAGGGATGAAGTCATATATATCCTATCGGAGTAAGTTACTAAAAACTCTGAAAGTTCAGGCCACCACCCATTAGTATTAAAGGAGAACTATGAGATGAGTGCTTTTCACTCACCTCATAGTTCTAGCCGACCTGTGACGATGAGACTGTCACAGGTCGGCTCAGTAGATCGGGAGGCGAGCGAACACATATCGGGTTCGCTCGCCTCTCGATCCTGTCACGGCTCTCTGCCGTGGGAAGGGGAGGGGCTGGATTCCCCCCTCCCCGCTCCGATCCGCCAGCGCTGACTGGCGGAACGGACGGGGGAGGGTACAGCTGGCTCTGCCTCTAGATAGGCAGAGCCAGCTGTCACTCACCTAGCTGGGCGAATCCCGTCAGCTAAGTCGTGATCCGCTCCGGCTGCGGCGTCTCAGTATACCGCGAGCTGTAGCTCACGGTATACTGAGCTTAGGGTAACGGGAGGGCACTAGTTTGTGTCCTCCCGTTACCCTAAGGAGAACTATGGGGAAAAACACTGACCCCATAGTTCTCCTTTAACTCCACAACTCAAAAAGGTCAGAAATGTTCTCACCCTCACTCAGAGAGCAGGGACCATAAAGCAGCCCAACTGACCGAAATCTAACACTCTGAGTAACGGCCTTTTGATAAATTTAAAAAAATAAAAAATAAAAACCCACACCACTAAACATGTGCAAAAACATTAAGTTAAACATAGAAAGTCAAGCAACCATATATAAATAGAAGGCAAGAAAGCCATTGTCCAAGAGATAAAAAGGAAACGAAAAACAGTGGAACTTACGACACTGGATGTGGATCATAGTAAGAACTGTTGGAGTTTTCTTGAACAGGTTCAGGAGATGGCTGTCTTTCCTCCTGTTCTTCTTCTACTTCTTCTTCAGATTCTGGTGATTGAAATATTCATCATATCAAAGTACATGGTTAGAATGTCAAGTCAACTGTGCAAAACAATTAAAAAGGTAAGAAAATTCAAGGCTTAGAAGACACTTGCCTTCATCTAGCTCTGCTTCTGAATCCCCAAAAACCTCATCCTCATAGCGAAAGATGTCATTGTGAACATAAAATTTGTTTGGGACAGATCCCTGCAACACAGAAATGTTAATACACATGCAATTATTTAGAAAAAAAATCTAAAACATCCAGGTACTCTTCTAAAACAGTGTTTTTACATTCCATTTATCAAAAAAAAAATGAAATTAAACATTTAAATAAAAATTCCATCCCAAGCACTGCCATCTCCAAGTCCTCAAACTGCCTGTCAGCGCCCATTTTTGCATCTCAAACAGTTCCTCAGATTTCTAGAGTCTGTCCGACACACACAAGCACTGGGTTATACACTCACTGGCCGCTTTATTATTAGGTACACCTCTTCAACTGCTCGTTAACACAAATATCTAAAATCAGCCAATCACATGGCAGTAACTCAAAACAATTTAGGCATAGAAGATAGTAGTAATTCTATGTGGGATGTCCAAAAGCAGTCCAACTAAGGTGTTGTCAAAAGCCACTGACCAATCCTACAGATGTGGAATTTCACTAAAAGAGTAGGAGAAGGAATCAACGCCTGAATTAAGAGAATTACGAGTCGAGTGATTTTTCACTCAGCCTCATAATTTGAGCCGACGTGTGACAATGAAACTGTCACAGGTCGGCTCAGTAGATCGGGAAGTGAGCAAACACATACCGGCGCTCGCTCACTTCTTGATCAGTGCAGAGAGCCGTGACTGTCACTCACGGCTCCCTGCAGGTATTCCCCCCTGTCCGATCCTCCAGCGCTGACTGGGGGAACGGACGGGGGAGGCGGCGGGTACAGCATGCTCTGCCACTAGATAGGCAGAGCCAGCTGTCACTCACGCAGCTGGGTGGATTCAGATAGAATTGTCGGGATCCGTTCCGGCGCCTCAGTATACCGCGAGCTGTAGCTCCCGGTATACTGAGCTTAGGGTGACGGGAGGACGCTAGTTTGTGTCCTCCCGTTACCCTTAGGAGAACTATGGGGAAAAGCCCTAACCCCATAGTTCTCCTTTAAGGCTTGACGGAAAAGTCAACCAATTATGGAAATAGTCAACACCAATGAGTTTTCACATGTAGTTGAGCCAAAAATACTTAACGATTCCAAATGGCTTTAGTTTTTTTGTCACTTGAACAAGTTATAAAATACTGAAAGTGACCGTCACTTTTTAGGAGGTCCTTCACTATGTAGAGAGCTGCCAAACCCAAGCTATGAGGCTGAAATTATGACTTTTTCTACCAGCTGAAGGTGAGACTTACTTACTTGGACTTTAGCACCAAGTAAATGACACAGGAGCAACCTGGTGTACCAGACCAAGAGAGAATTCCATAGCGCAAAAATAGAACCTGGAGGGGCATGAAGCCTCAACTAGCAAAGTGGTGGACAACCAATTATCCAGCTTAATAACAAACATACAACTTCTTAAAAAGGAGAATAATTTAGATGAACAGCCAAGAAAATCAACAAAAGGAAAAGTAATTTCTAAAAAGAGAAAAGGATATTAACCAGAAAATCTAAATGGAGAGAGGGCTAGTAAACCTGAATCCTTTAAGAGGAGAGAGCAAGGTGATCAACACCACCTGTAAAAAAGGTAGGCAGGAGCAAGAATGCATTGTAAAGGCACCGGTTAAGAACCACGGCCCCAGATGTTTTACTAAAATAGATTTGTTGCAGCGTCACCAATTGCTGATATACTGATTTCAAGACATGTATGACATTGGAAAAGCAATACTTACTTCGGGGGCAAGCACAAAGGTTTGCATGAACTTTCTCATTGGTTGGCCATTGTTAGAAAGTTCACCCATAACTTGGACAACAACTCCATCACTCAGTGTAGCATGTGCATCAACGTGTCGAATCTTTGTGCGACATTCACTGAACTGAAGTGACATCACCTTCTTGTGAATTTCCTGAGTTTAAGAAAACATTTATAGTCAAAGATGTTCGAGAAATCTTTTTTTTAAAGAAAATTATTTCCGCTTCCATACACAACAAATGATGTGAACCTTGCTGAGTGCCATGATGCCCATTCATTCATATCGTCATTCAGCCCAGAAGACATCAAGTGGTGGAAAAGTTGGTAAGTATTGAAGCCTAAGGTGCTTTTTTTTTTATATAACTATACTACTACATGAACCAATTACAAAAAGCTGAACAGATTAAAAGCTGCAGAGATCAAATGCATACAATTGCCGAACCTATGTTTTGCCCAGAAATAGCTGTTTACCAAAGTCAGGAACCCTGCTAACTACCTTACCACTATATATAGGAAGCAAAATTACTTTGAGCAATGACAATTATTTTGAACTAAAAATATGCCTTACCTAAAAATAAAGTTCACATAAAAAATTATCTAAACTTATGCTGCCTTCAGATATAACATCACGATCTCAAGAAATGTGATATTAAGGATTTGTGTCTAATATACAATTGTGTCCTTCAATGAACGGGAGAGAAAATAGGATTTTGGTACTCACCGTAAAATCCTTTTCTCTCCGTTCATTGAAGGACACAGGGAACAGATCATGTACTGCAGGTGGCGCTATTACCCTACAGTACATGATCTCCGATCTGTTCCCCGTGTCCTTCAATGAACGGGAGAGAAACTGGATTTTTGCAGCCATTGTTTCTTCTTTTCACATGTCTATTCTTTTACACTAACCATAAATTAATTTTGCAACCATTAATGTTTTGAATGTATTGCATTGAACTTTTTTGGATAGTTCACAGGTCTGTGAAACAATGTCTTACATCTATGCCATGCCTAAAAAGTTTCCTTTACCACAGCAGCCCATTATCAACTTTCATTTGTCCACAGAAGGCCGGAAAGTAAATAGGCTGCAACAAGAACATTTTCGCTATGTGAGGTCTTCAGGGTTTTTTCCAGGCTTCCTGGTACGTGCAGGGGCATATTACTCAGTAACACTTTACAGAACTAGCTTCATTGACCATGTGGAACAATTTTAAAAAATCCTACATTAGAAAACAACAAAAACAAATAAAATAAACCAAGCTTACGAAAGAAGAACATATAACTTTTGGTTTGAGACATACCGCTTGTCCATACACAGCTTCTTGGGGCTTCCCACTGGCATCCAATCCCCCATGCACATAGGAAGAATTTCTTCCATAAAACCTAAAAAAAAATAAAATTAAACAAAAAAAAGCCTGTGAATTACAACACAATTAAAATGGTAATCCTCAGGACAAACAAGGATTTAAAGTCAAGCATGCCAAACGTATAGCCCAAAAGTGGTTTGCCATGTGAATAAGCACCCTATCCATATAAACTGTTGAACTCCAAACTCCATGATGACATGAAAAGTAGGTTTTGCATTAGGAAGCAGGTACTGTATATGTGCAGACACACTTTTAGGTGCTTGCACTTTATACAAGCAGCAGTTTAATTTTGTCTATTTTTAAGGGTTTGCACATACAAACTTTAAAAGGGGACACTTAGTGGGCATCTAACAGTACACTTGATGAGCACCTGACATTTAATGGCCAACTTCCCCAAAAAGTGGTTTAAATAGGCTACACTCCACCTAATGGCCACATACACATGTCAGTATTTAGTGGGAATGGATATGATGCATGCAGCTCAGTCAGCTATAGCCAATAAAGTAAAATATACTTCCTAGTCCAGTGGGCCAACCCCAAGAGAGAATTGTAAGCACTGGCCTAGGAATGTGGATGCACTTTTGCACTTGATGTACATATGCATGAGCCCTAAAAGAGCAAAAGTGAACAGATTTGCACATTTACCCTACAGCAGAACAGAACAAAGTATGATTGCCATTTTTCCTGAAGGTATAGAAGGGCTTGTGTTTATAGATTAAAGCAACCTACCACAAGTTCAACAGATAGCCGGTGGAAGTCTGCTTTTATATTTTGCACTTGCTACCAAAAGCTGGATGAAATTGCTTGAAATTTACCTTAAGTACAGCATTATAGTTTCTTGACCGGGAAAAGTGTCAATTCTTAGTAGAAAACATTTAATTCAAAAAGATCAGGTATGCGCTATGCCATTCTTGGTAAAATCTATTTACAAGTGAGGTCAGTGGCTAACCAGTGTGCTGATGCAGAGGTTGTTTAGCTATGATGTCTGGCATGTAGAAAGGGGAATTTCAGCAGAAAGTGTAAAAATTAGCTGGTCTTCAGCTAAACAAGAAATAACATTTAAGCAAAGAAAAAGACAGTAACATGTACCTGTGCAAAAAGTCAGGAGCTTTATTTAGCAGAGTGTAGTACTGCCTGACGAACTCCCGCCCTACAAGCAGGGGACTTGGCTTCTCCATCACCATTTCTTTGGTACAGGAAGTGATATGCTGCTATGAAAAATACAAGAGCTGCATTACAGGTAAATCACAGAAACTTAAAGCCAGCTCGTCATGAAAATAACATTGAATACCTTAAAATGAAAGTTGCCTGACTATTATGCGGACTCACTGGCATCAATACTTTCTGTTACTGATTCTTAACAAGTAGGCAACATGTTAATGTGTCAGTCTACCCTATCTGTAATGAAAAGCCCAGGATAATATACTAAAATTATTGGATGCACCCTTAATAAAATGGTGTGAAAATAAACGTTCAAAAGTAAATTATAAAAACCATTTGCAAAAAAAAAAAAAAAAAAATCCCGTTCAAAAACAAAAGTTGCACTTTAATACAGTTTTTATATGCTGCCAACAAAATACAACATATTTTGGCTTTGTATTGAAGTTCTCTTGTTTATGGTTTATACAGCAGACACATGCTCTATCATCCAATGCCTACCAACCAACTGATGCCGATTAGATAAGCAGATTCTGAAAAGGAATAAACAGAACAGGATCAGCAGGACCTGAAACATCTGGTCAAAACTGGTTAACCAGTTCTAGATGGGTACCAACTGGTACCCATCCTTAATGTTATTAAGGATGGTTAACCACCCTTAATGTTTAAAATTCCAAGCAGCTGTCTTTCTTCAGATATCTTTGTTGACAGTACATGTAATCTTCATAGAAGTCTATGGAAGCTGACAACATCATGGTACAGGAAGCTGGAGGAGGATAGGGTCCATAACTCTGAATAACATATATCTATCTATCTATATCAGACCCCTGATATTTCCCTTTTAAAATAGAAAAAGAGATTGTTGACTGTCCTCAATATCTTTTTCTGCAGCCCCTGTTATAAATGAACAGGAATCCTCTATACCGAGTGTTGCTGTTCATTTATAAACTGTGTATATAATAGGAGTTGCTAGATACAAAATCATGAATGAATAGGAATTGATGTAGGCGGACTTCCTATTCATTCAGAAGTGGTACATAGAAAGTTATTATGCTCAGTTCAATACAGTCAGTGATTACTGAGTGCTTGTACCGCTCTCCATCCTGACTCGCTGTCACAGGAGGGTGAGCCGATGGTGCGGGGAGGAGAGCTTGTTCTATTTTGACAGTTGACTTCTCCCCCACACCGCCAGCTCGGGCTCTTTTGCCAGCGTACGGTTGTCTCTGTCCCCACACCGCTCTCCGGAACCAGCCACATCATAAAGAACGCATTTCAGTGCGTTTCAGTCTCTGGAACGCGTCCAAGCTGGCTCACTTTGTTTTGGGGCAGGAGGGGGGCGTGGAGGTGCATTGAAGTCAATGTGGCACATTAGAGTCTACGTTCCGGTCCAGTGTGATCGGCAAAAAATAGTGCATGTAACATTTTTTGCAGATCGCACTGGACCTGAATGCAGGCACTAATGTGCCACATGTTCGGGTGCCAGCGATCACACCGCGGGTGCAGGGCGTGGCTGCGGTGCCATTGAGTTCAATGCACCGCCACGACCCCTACCGCCCCAAAACAAAGTGAGCCGGCCGTGTTGGGTTCCAGAGGCCGAATGCACTCTTGATGGTGTGACAGGGCCCTAAGTCAATGCATACAGCTGTGAGCGTGCACTCCCAACAGACTGTGGGACAGGAAGAGACAGCAGTCTGCGCTGGATCAGAGCCCGACACCAGCGCTGAAGGGACTGCTGAAAACGACTGGAAGAAGAGGATGTTTGGATCAAGAGGCGTCACTTAAGGTAAGCCCTGAAAGCAGCATGGGATTGCGGGTGGCGGGGTCTTGGCGGATTGGACTGTAACATCACTTTAAGGCAGTGAAAAATCTCAGTGTAACATTCCAAAGGGATTAGAAAAAGGACTCTTTTGAATTGGAAACATCTGCATGGATAGTAACCCTGAATTCTGAAAGGCTGATATAACTAGTAGAGAAAAAAAAAGTACCACTACAAGGGAAGGCAGGAACCGCAACAAACTAGTACCCTAGACTGGTGCATGTAGACACCAAAATGCAAGAGGTAAGAGACCCATCTGCTAACACACCCACAATGTCAATGGTGTCCGACGAGAAAAACGTGTGGGGCTTGCCTACCTGATCCAAAACATCATACCAAGAACCATCCTATCCTTTGCTATCCAGACTCCCAAGTACCAAGGAGAGGCCGAAAAAGTCAGAGAATCAATGATATATAGGCAGGAGCACTCACATAAGGTTGGTTCCAATGGATTCAACAAGGCAGTGGAGCCACCCTCAAAAAAGAAATGGATTACAGAGAAACTTTAAAAGCAGAATGCAAGCAAGTGACTTTCTTCAAACAGAAAGCAACTGGCAAACATAACGTCAAGCAGTGTGCTGCATTTCAAAGTGAGGGTTTAATAACACAACGTTTACTTTTCCAATGTACAGCTAAGAGAAAGAGGTTTCTTATCGGTGAAAGATTTTTAGACTGCGTTAATAGAATGCCTTTTGTACAGTCCTCTGGCCAGATACTGAGCAACGTCTGTGGCAACTTTGACTTTTCCACATTTTGTAGTGTTACAACCTGGATGGATTGAATTGGGATTTTACATCACTAAGCTAAGGTGACCTATAATGTTAAAGAAAGAAAACTCAATTTTTAGAAGAACATTTTCTTTATATCATTAAGGTTCACAAGAGAACTTTCAAGCCCACTACGAGAGGATAGTGACAGGTACTTTTTAGAGAAGACACCTTAGGCCTATTAGACCATTGATGCCTGTAGCTTTTGCAGATTAGGGACACCAGTTCTCAACCTGCTGCTGGGATCTGACAGCTCTGAACCTCATATTCCTGAGCTGAGAACCTAATGCAGCCTGGAGATTGGTGAAAATTAGTTCACTGATCTCCTTTATGCTTTATTTGGCTTGCCCCTGGAGTGATCCCAAGCTCACAGGAGAACAAGGTAAGGCCAGGGACCACAAGAGCAGGTTGTGCAGATCTATTCTGGATGATGCCACCAAACAGGGAGGCATGGCTGATAAAACACTAGCCATTTTAAAATCTTAAATGGTTAGAATGATTTGTTGTATTAGGACCCTTTCACACCATGTCCAGACCAGATCTGGATGCGTTTCTGCAAATGCGGAGTGGCAAAAGAGTACGGAAGGGCTAAAACTTTTGTCAGGTTCTTGATATCAGTGTCTCCCCGTCCCAGTGACACCTGATGTGTTCGATTTTTTGTCCCGATGTTATAGGCACAGAAAATGTAGAGCATTTCTCTGAACACATCACAGGCAGCAATAAAAGCTAGGGACTTAATATAACCCTTGCCCTGAAGATGGCTTTAAACCTGAACTCCAGTCTTCCCTTTAGTCTTGGCACAGTTGAACAGGCTCTTCCTGTACTGGAAAGGTTTACACGGTGAGCTTCTCACAGTGTGCATTTGAAGCTGCAGTAAGTCAGATCGAGCCCACCTCATTTCCTGGCTGGAGGACATCTACGATCATCTGGCGCTTTTCTACCAAGCCTGACAATCCCTGCCCCTTCCCTTTCAATCATTGGATTTTAGTGATCAGCGTCGCATGCGGGCATTACAAAGCCATGACTCCCAGAAACAGGCAGGCATCATAGGATTTGTAGTTTCACCACAGCTGGAGTGCCCTATCCCTGAGATATACTATCAATATGATGCAGTGGATGGGGAAGGCAGACAAGTCTTCAGGATGCTAGGTTCTGGACTGTATATCTGCTCTCCACTTAAAAAAAATCAAGACATAAAAGAGTTACTACATTTAAAATGTCAACAGCTCATTGTTTTAAAATAGCTTGCTTCTCAAGCAGACTTAAGACCTTTATCTCCTTTTACTAAAAATCACATCAGCTCTGTATGTCGATATGAAACCATCTTGCATTCATTAAAAATTTTTCTTTTATTTCCAAAAAGTTTTTTTTACTTTCTGGTAATCTTGGTCATTTGTGACGTAATGTGCCTAAAAAATTGGATCCTGGGTAGATTACATCAGCAGAGCATTGCTGGAAAATGTCATCTGTAATCTCACGAGATCTCAGGGAAAGGCATTTTCCTCCTTTGAGATGATGTGCATGGTCACATGTCCTAGTCAGATGTGTAAGAGTTCCAGGAAGTACAGGGAGATGGATTCATCTTCCCTTAGTAAAAATTGATCACTGTGAGAAGTAGGGATGTCCCGATAGCACTTTTTCAAGACCAAGTACAAGTACAGGTACTTGCCGATACTTTTTCTTAAAGGGACATGTAAAAAAAAATTCTAAAAACAATACGGACTGATTTAAGGGCAGTTTCTAACCAGGGCTGCATACAGATCTCACCAGAGCTAAATACAGTTCTCACCAGGCTGCGTTCAGAATCTGGACCCAGCCTGGTGACATCTGTACGCAGGTGTGACAGTTACTGTGCAGAACGAGTGCCGCAGACATCTACTCTTACACCCAATGGGTTTGGTTGGCAAATGTGACTGCAATGTGCTTTGTTGATTACTACATGTTTTAAGTGCAGTGGGAGGCACATTTGCTCACAATACATCCCGTTAAAGATAAAGAGTCTTAACAGACTAGAGGAGAATGCCAGACAAAATGCTCCTGTCTGTATACGTGGTGTGGGACTGCCTCGAGCAGTGCCTGCACCAGGAGTCAGGAGGAGACGTGGGACCCGGCAGGCAGCGTCAAAGACAGCTACTGCCAGGTCCCCGGAAGGCCGCTTCAGGACCCAACAAACACAGGACCTGATCCGACTTGAAAATTTAAAGGGCTAGTAGTATCGCCCTGCAGTATCGGGGCATTTTCACGCGTATAGGTACTCGTGAAAATGCCCTGTAACGGCCCCCGATACCAATATCGGTATATCCCTAGTGAGAAGAATATGGGGGAAGAAATGTAAGGTACGCAGAGAGTAAAAAGCCTGAAATTCTCTGAAAGAATCTGTTGGTAGATTGTCATTACTAAACATTTCTAAAAGGTGTCTTTGTTGTTATTTTAAAGATATGGGTAAAGTTTCTCTTTAACTGCATTCCGTACAACTTTTTGAAAAATCATAATTATTCTCTGAATTAAAAAAACAAACGCATTAAGCACTTTGAAACAATGATCTCTCATCCACTGCACAACTAGCTAAAACACAAAAGTTTAATTTTTCTTTTGCTCTTTGTAGAAAAAACAAAACCAAAAACTTTGCAGCAACCAACCTTTACTACTTGGGTGAGAGTAGTATCTAAAACCAATTTGTATACTGGTTCTCGTTTTTGACATAAGAACTTCCTTAAAGTTGAACTGCTAGAAGGGGAAAAAAACAGTTTTGCATATTTGCTGTGTAAAAATAAATTACCTCTAATGTTGGGTGTCCCATATGTGGATGTTAGGTAAAACATCCCATTCATCCCCGACACTACTGTAAGCAGCGAACCTCTTGCTTTTGACAGCTTACATACAGCAAAGAAGGTTGCTCAGTCTCCCCCTTCGTCTCCCCACATCCCTTCACAAAATGTCTAGTGTTCTTTTCACAGAATAAGAGGGGACACGTAGAGAAAAAGTAGCACTTGCAGTTGCTCAATTGTGCATTTCACACCTCCAGACCTGAGACAAGGAGATGCAAGAAATCAGTAGGGAGAAGAATAGTGCCACGAATCATCACGGTAGTTGTGGCATCAACTGGTGGAAGGAGAGGCCTGGGCTGGGTAGAGAGCAAAGGACCACAGAGTAGGATTTGACCTTCCATTACCTAGCCGCGAGCATGCAGTCTCCATACAATAGGCACACCACACTAGAATAGTTGGTGTAGAAAATGGTAGGACATATATTGTCTGGTATCTGAAAATACCTCAAACCCCTGGATTGTACTGACTGGCTCCTGGATAGCAATACAAATCTAGTTATTTAGCCAGCAAAGTCAGAAAAGCAACACATGCCCTCAGAAAGGCAACAAGTTGCCTAAAAGTAAAAAAAAAAAACCAACTCTTTTGCAGTATCAATGGATGCCATATGTGACAAGTCTCTAAGCATTTTTGCCATGGCTCTGTGTGAGGTAAAGGAGGGGACTGGTTGCCTCTAACAAATCTGTCGAAGTAACTAGAAGAGCCCATTCACACTAATGCATTCAATACTGCGATGCAAAGTAAGGCGTGTTATAGGTGTTGGGATTGGAGCAGTTCGGAACTGATGTCAACGTTGTGACATCCATGTTTGTCCAGTTTTCTTCCTCCATCTTGCAATGTTGGTCTAGAGCTATATGGGGAATCGGATTACCCTGATTCACCAAGATCAGGTCAGCCAAAACTGAACTCTGATCCATTTGGTTTTCCAGACCTGGACGGAGTTGGGGGTAATCGGATGTAAACAAGACACACGTTCTATCTGTCTGCTTATAGGAGGTGCCTATACGCCGGCTGAAATTCGCACACAGTGTGTGGGGCTGTCGTCTCCCTTTCAGCCAGCATTCCTCGATCAGCCGATCTAAGGAGCCAGCTGCAAAATCTTCATACGATCAGAGCCGTCAGCTAATGAGCTACACGCTCTGACCGGGTATTCTAACTGGTGCCAGCAGCACCTGTCAGAATACAATGCAAAAAGTGGCAATTCCTCGATCAATATGCGGTTTGTGTTGATGGCGGAATCGTGTCAATTTTTTTTATGTTCAAACAGGGGGTTGAACGAAAAGAAGTTGATAGCTGTATGGCCAGCCTAACAATGGACTTCCGATCGGATCCACCTGCAAAACTGACAGACGGACCTGATCAGAATGCCCATGTGAATGGGCTCTAATGCACTGCAGTGGTGAGAACGGGCCCTAAGGCAGCAGCTGGCTAGACTCACAGACGTAAAAGTAAATTGTGCTGGGTCTAAATGCTTTTTATTGTAAATCATACACTGGTTTCTTATGTCTACTGGAGGCTCCAAAGGATCACCATACACATCTGATTGTACAATCTCCTTAAGATGGTTGGTTTAGATGGTACACATAAAATTGATCGGATAGTTAGATTGCAATTAGTGATGAGGGTGATGAGGCTGAGGCTGAGCCTGGTGAAATCCCGCGATCGTACGAGAATCGAACAATGTGAATGAAGACGTGCGACCGTTTCTACTGTACGGTCGCACGTCTTTTGTCTAAGGAGCATGCTAGAAAACCAGCCGAGAATCGTACGATTTTCGGCTGGTTTGAACAGTGCTCGGGAGACAAATGCCGAACGGGCCGGTACGTTTTTTTAATTACTTTACAACCATCGCAAGACTTAGGTCTTGCGATGGTTGTAAAGTGTATGGCCACCTTTAGAAAGCCATCCCCACCAAAATCTCCAATCTACCCAGCTGCAGTAGCAAAGCCAAATGTTAAGGCAAAGGACCCCGAATGGACAAGACGCAACACCTTTGTTATGGTCTTATAACAAAGGACTGGAGACTTGAACTACCATGACGAAATCTCGCCAGCTCTAGGACGCTTGCGAATGATTCAAGAAGCCTGTGCCCACCAAACTGCAAAAGACCAGTTTCAAATGAAGTTGACCCTCGGTTGAACAATTCCTAAAAGCTCAAGGTAACAAACCTACTGAGAATGTTCATTTTTATTCTTAGTCAATCACTATCGTACTCCTTTTCGCAGTGATAGAACATACAAGGCTCAATTCACAAAGCTCACACACCACCATACAGGGGACTTTTTTCAAAACAGTCATTTGAGTCAGTTGAGTCCGGTAAGATTTGAAGGTTACAGTCACCTAGCTAAAATAAAGACACTTATCCTTGTGCGAGGGCCCAAACCATATCCAGTGCGTTCCAAGACCAGAACGCATAGATCAGGTCAGGCCACATTCTGGGGCGGGAGTGGCGGTGTCATTCAGGTCACTGGCACGGGAATGCCATCCGTTCCGGTGCAGTGCGATCGGAAAAAATGCTGCATGCACTATTTTTTGCAATCGCACTGCACGGGAATGGATGGCATTCCTGTACTTCACATCCCGCTGCAGGGGGCATGTCTGCGGTGCAGACACGAATGGCTCCGGCACGCCCCCTCCCGCCCCAGTCTGATCTATGCTTTCCAGTACATTACGGGAACAGGCCACGCCAGAACGCACTGGATATGTTGCGACTGGGCCCTTCAAGTGGATTTATAGACAAAGCATGTTTTGTATTTTGTGGACAGAGTCCACAAAATATCCCATTTCACTTCCTGTTCGACATCCACTTCCTGTTCGACATCCACAGCAGGAAGTGAGAGGAAATCCTGGTGGTCAGCAGGGTCACCAGATGGTGTGATTCTGCTACATGAGCACACAGGCTGCAATAAAAACCTGACAGGGAGGGCTATATATA